CTTGCGTCCACAGGCACGAGGTCGCAAGTTGAACGTTTTTGGTTTTTCGAATAACGCGTCCTACGCCGTTGCTGTATAGCCGACGCAACAACTTATTTTAAATACATGGAACAATTTGTTTATAATAATTTCGAAAAATTCTCTTTCCTTTTTATCCTGCTATTTCACCAATCAAACGCGTATTCCCACGGGTGGCGTAACAAAGGAAGGTTTATTCATGACGCTACCTAATATCTCGTCTGATAAACTATGCTCTCAAGTAAGTTCAAAATATCGTTATTTCCTTCCCTCTTGTGTTTGCCTATTTGACGTATTTTTCTGATACCCTAAGTGTTTTGACACACAGTACAAACAGTTATTCTCAGGTTTGTTAATTGACAGTATTTTTAACAATTATTTGACGCGTGCGTTCCTGTCTTCCACAATAAAAATATAGATGTATGCAAGTAGTCTACATGCAGAAATGCCCCTGATTCGTTTTCAATAAATCAGTGTTAGTGCCCATACCTAGGAAATATACACTTCGCAAACAATAGGAAAAATTGTGATAGGCAGCTTACTTGAGGGACAGCGGTGACATTTTGTCATGTTTAGCGAAAATGCTGCAGACCTACTTGAAGAAAAGTCTGTTAGTTATTCGGCGATATCGACAATGGGCACCGCCTGCTCCAACAAGCCGCAGTACATGCTGAATCAGGCTGAATCAGGCCGAAGCAGACAGTGAGACAAACTGGGCAAGCTGCAAGAAGACTACATCTAGCTAAAGCAACGCAGTGAACTGCTGCGAATAAAATAATAATTAAGACAGACTCGCGAAGAATCTGCCCACTCGCTCGCCACTCCCTCTTCCGTTTCCGGTTTAAAGTCAAAGTCCAAAACGGCCGATAATGATTGGGGTTGTAGATGGCTGGCGCGATAGTCACTCAGCATGCCCTCACTTGAGTCATTTAACTCCCTAGGTAGGCTCTCGCATGTGCGAAAATTAAGAAGGAGCAAAAAATAGCCCGATTCTCAGTCATTCATATGTTTGCAATTGCACATATCAACACACGTGTACAGTAGGAGCAAATACGTAGGTCGCACCAGTTTGCACCTCAATTGGCAACCCTTACAAGCCACGACCTTTAGCGCACCGAATCTGATTAATTATAGTGAGGAAGCGCACTGAGGTTCACACACTCAATTCCTACCGTCTAGCGACCGCCTAGATGCTCGCACACCTTAAGGTGGTGACCTAAACCCACTGGGAGCGCAAACGCATACACCGACAGGAAATAAAAACCGAGAGAAAATGCCAGCGCCTACCAGGCCGCAGAGATTATGGTTTGCCGAAGTCTGACATTACATATGCTTAGAGACGTTGGATCGCAGAAGGGTGAGAGCAGTCCTGCAAAAAGCCTAGGCAAAC